ACGTCGTTTATTCAAATGGTCCCGTAATCGAAGTGTCGCGACGCAGAGTCACAGCGGAATTCCAGACGAAACACGCCAAGGTAACGAAACAAAAAAAAAAAAAAAAAAAAAAAAAAAAAAAAAAAGGAACAGAAAAAACAAGGAACGAAAAACGTACCACCTACCGATCTCTCTCTAGATACTGTTAATCGGGCCCCCCCCCCCCGAGATACTGTTAAGCAAACTGGGTGGGAGGATGGAATATCAATATGATTCGTTCGTTTCCATGGATCGAGGCAACGAGGAACTAAGAAGAAGGTGTACACCAGCCGGTCGACGACCTCGAAGAGTCGTTCAACCCGCGACGATCGACCCATAATCGTCCTTGAAACGCGGTATTTCATGAACGAGGATAGGGTCAAAGATTGGTATGCCATCGATCGTTGCCGTGAAAAATAAGCACGTATAGAGAATTCTGTCCAGGACAGGTAGACTTCAATCAACGGGAGTGTGTGGTTCGATTGGAGATCACCTCGAGGAACGGTGTACTGACAATTTGCTTAGTGTACACAATACTGTAAATGTTACTACTTTTAGGGAAAGTAAAATTAGACATTATTGATGGTACACAAAGCTAACAAAACCGACATATCTGTGGCATCTGTCTCTTTTCCACCGAGCCCCTCAATTCCAGGGCCGAAAAGATGATTGACACCACAGAAGCGCGCCTTCTTGCTAGACTTCTACGTGCGAAGACAGCTGATCGTTTTGGAGTCTATTTCGAGACGGAACAACATTCTGCAGAAGCTCTTAAGCGGCGAACAGGCGGGATATTCGCTGGTATATATATCGGTGCTCGTAAATTCGCGAGGGACGGTTAATACGCCTCTTAAGCGGAAACGGAAGAGGCCGCGAGGATCCATTTGGCGCGGTTTAAGGACGATACTCCTGAAGGATTCAACGACTGAACTTGGACAGATCTTTATTCGTTCTTTAGATTCTGTGGTGGCACGAATTAGTGTTGCCGGGTTGGCCGTTTTCTCCCCAGATTTAGGGGATTTTTCTATCAACAGGGGGAAATCTAGAGGCAGAAATTTTTTGAGGGGGAATTCAGGGGATTTCATTTTATAGAAAAGTCGAAATCAACTTTTCTTATGTTCGAAAAAGTTGCCTATTTTAGAAAAGAATGCAACATGTTCAGTGCCCATCTGTTGGAAAACTAAAAAACTACGACTGAATTTTCACTGATTTGGTAGTACCATTTTCGTTTGTCACGGTGTTCTTCTTTCCGTGGAACGAATGGGACGTTTAGAAAGTCTACCGAAAATACGAAAACCAAGTAACGTATATTGGCAGTTATTGTAGAAGAGGTAAATGTGTTTTTACAATTATTCCAGAAGACTACATTTTTATATAGTGCCACATAGTGCATATTATATACATTATAAAAATGAAAATATTCAAGTAAAAATGGTTCGGGGGATTTTTTACAAAACTGTCAAATTGTGCTGGATATTTATATTTGTTTAGGGGGATAATTTTTCCATGTCTGGCAACACTGGCACGAATAGTAATAATTTATTCGTGACAATTATAATGTATCTGAACATCTACCTTCGATGGAAACATTCTTTACAGGCTCTACTTTTTCTTAAGATGTTTCTAGACCCATCGAAGCAACCCTGAAGTTCTCCAAGATCTTCAGCAAGCTGAGGTTCGCGGACCAGAGGTGGTTCCAAGGAAAAGGTACGAGTGGAGGGTTCATCGTCTTCGGCGTTTCCGTGTTGAAGAAAACACAGAGCGTAGCGACGAACGAAGGAAGGAAGGGAGAAGACGAAGGCCCGGTCGACGCCCTCCAGGAGTCGTTCAACCCGGTGTGCCGGGCGGTCGTCGACGATCGGCCTTGAATCACCCGTGCCCGTTTACGGGAGCGGCGTGCGCGCACGGGTTCAAGCACCAGACCAAGTCGAGGCTTCCGGTAGGAATCTCTGGACACGGTGTTCGAGCACAGGTCCACCACCGAGGTAAACGATCTCGTGCTCCTGGACGTGAATCTCTGTTTGAAAGGTCTCTGCTTTGAAACACCTTCGACAGGTTCTTCGTGAACCCCCTAAGTTAGGTCTGCACAGATCTACACTTATGCTCTATTTTTCAATGTACAGTAAATCCTCGATGAGTGCTCGAAGGCTCCTCGACACTGACAAGGAAAGGTTCCCAGATGTAACGTTGACTTTTTAACGAGGTTCAGGACTGTGATAGATTTTGGAATTCTGAAGCCAATGATGAGGCTATTAGTTTATGATATATTTAATGTTCAGTGCCGAGGAGTCTTCGAACACCAAGCATTCAATCATGAAATTCGACGCACACGAATTCGGACGATTAAAACAATTGCGTATTATTTGCGACTGAAGATAAGCAGGGCTTTACTGTTTATCAGGAGCACTCATAAAGGTTCAAATAGTACATACAGGTACAAAGCTACATCCAAATAAAAAGTGTATTTTCCGGACATACGTCGTATATATTTCTTAGAGTCTTCCTGGCAGAGGAGCCCCTGCTTTCTATCAGAGTCTGGTTTTTACGAAGCTTCGAGTTGCTCGTCCCATGAACGTGTATGCGTCGGTGAGAGGATGAACACGTGCCTCGAGATAACGACGTGGAAATGAAAGGCAACGAGTGATAATGGCCTTTAGCGGGATCGTGTGGAGCGGGCCAGGTGACGATACCGATAGCGATCGAAGCCAGAGTAAGGGGGGCAGACTGCCTTTGTGTCGGGACAGTTGAGGATTACTTCGTAGGGGCGTATATTTGATGAATTCTGGACTACTAAGTGGCCAGAGATATTTGATACCTCTGGTGAGTCTTTGTGGAACTCTTTAGGAAGATATCTGATGGATTCAGGTCTACCCAAACACACAAGATACTCTAATTTTGTACCCTAAAAAGTTTGGAGCACCCTTCAACCTTTACAGAGTATTTACGATTTTTTACAAAATCAGTGGAGCATTCGAACAGAAATCTGGGGCTCCAAATGACAGTGTTGCGCCTACTAAGATTTCTCTTAGACGACTCAGTGGAAAAAGGACAAATGTCTATGTCGGTTTTTCGCTTTTTGTACCATCATAAGGTTCTAACCTTATTTCTCCTAAAAGTAATTGCGTAACTTTGTAGTATAGTGGTATGTGCCACTCTTCCATTCCCTCACAGAGATGGGCAAATGCATTATCTAGAATAATCGAAATAAAAAGTTTCGAATAACGAATAAAAGATGAAAAAAATGTATCGTCATTTTTACTTGATTGAACGTGGTAATTCTAATTTTTATCATAAAATAATGTTCCTTCTTAAATGAGTGGACACTTTGCAAACAATTATTTAATCTCATGAACTGTTTAAAAGTCAGGATGACGATCTTAGATACTGCTGGTTCTCACTATGTATTATTCGAATAAAATTGTGCCCATCTCTGGCCCCTCAATTATTAAAAATTCCTGATCTACATATTGGGTCACTGTAAGTCCCTCGGATGGGCCCTGAAAATTTCAAATTCGTACCCAGCCTAAAGTCCATATGTCTCGGACGATTTTACAAGGGAGGAAAATGGTAACTGCCGCGAACAAGATTCGAAAGGCGCGCACAGCATCTCGGTCGCTTTCTACGCTTTTATCGGACTCGATCGATCGATCGATCGGGGGAAGGAGGGCTTGTTGCCCGCGAGTTACGACAGATTCAGCGGCGATGGTGCGCACGATTGCTGCACCACCGGGCGCTGACGCGGCGAAATCGGCGTGCATTACGAAAGTTAACTGGAGCACGAATCGACTTTCGATTCGGTGGTAAGAGAGGCCCCCCCATGCGCTCGAGCTCGTTGGCTCGGGCACCTCGTTCCCTGGAAACCGAGAGTACTCTCTTCTAGAGACTGGGATTTCGCTTGATTCTTGAATCCAACTAATAGCAATCTTTCCAGGGAATCGACCAACTCCTGGGAAGCTTCCGTCTTACCGTGAATGAGGTCGAAGTTCCGAAAATTCATTGAAGACACGTATTCAGTGTAATGTCTGTCTAATCTTCGAAGGATCCGATAGGGAATTCGGGAATACTCTTCTGGTGTGGGAACTACACTTCGTGGCATAATTGTAAACCCTAAAACTTTCAATTCTTACGTATTATGGTTAAGATAATAACGAACCAGGTATGCTATGACCGGAATCCTGATGAGAAATAATGTTTCTCCAGAAGAGGATGGATTATATACCCTAGAAAAAGTTTTTCATTTTTACTTTAACCAGATTACAAAAGGAGTGAAAATATTAAAGTGGATTTATTGTTACCTAAAGAATCTCTGGCTGAATCTATCCAAGTGTTCGATGGTTTTCACGAGTTCAGACGTATTGGGATTCGTCGTAGTTTGGAACGATGTCAATGGAAGGTTGATAGAAGGAGGCTGATGGTTGTGGAGGTCGCGAATTTTTGTACCCGTGAAGCCCACCGAACGTTTCCACGGCCAAGTCGCGAGGATCCGCGAGGGGAACGCGGGAGGAACGAGATATCTAGTTGCAGGTCGTTCACATCGCGAGGGGACGAGCAGTAAAAATAGAACGAGAGCGCCAGGAGCGCGTGCTCTCACGCGCCACGGACGCGGATGATATCGACGAAGACGAAGATGAAGACGGGAATCATCGGCCAGAGGGGAGGGAAGGTTCGCGATACGTTTTGCGGCCCTTCGAGAACGTTTCCTCTTTGTGCAACACACTCGATTTAGAACCAGATTCTTCGCCCCGAGTCAGCGAAACACGATGTGTCTGCTATAATTAATTCGACTGCGATGTCTTGACTCTAAATACTGGACTGTCTTCGCTATAAATCACTCGAAACATAAAGTACACAACTGTCTAATCGACTAAGTAATCAACAATCTAATGTTAATCCTCGGAATTCTGTGTTATGGATTCCGTTAATTACGTATTTGTTAATTTCAGGTCAGTGAAGCCAACAGATGAACAGTGTCCGTTACGTACCTGCGTGTAACACCAATTCTCGGCCACAGGGGTGTTCACTTCCGGTGGTGGAGGGCTTGGTACACGGCTTACTGCCATACTACTGCTGCTGTGCAAGTTCGAGCTGACCCGCGACGTTTGAGGCGCACAGTCGCTCACCGCAAGTCTGTAACAGAGAAACAACATAGAACAAATTAGGATGATATGAACTAACTCCTTCTATTTTATTCATAATTGGACAGGCACAATATCAAAATATGATTTGTAGTTCAGTCGTCATGTTCACTACCAAATCATCCAAACCTAGAGTCAGACAACGAAGATCGAATCGAGGGTGTTCCATCTAGCCAATTTAGCCAGAAAACACACCTAGTACCCTAATTACACTCGCAATAATTTAGAACACCCTTCAGCATTTACAAAGTACTCAGGATATGATTGAAATCCTGTTGAAAGTGTTTGAAGGCTCCTCGATATTAAATATTTCCCAATCTAACGGCTGATGAAAGGTGAATCAAAAGTGTTCCAATCCAGCCGATCTCACAAAAAAAAACTCCTCTGATTTCCATAAGGGAAGGTCACCCATGGTTGATCGACTAACGCATACACACATGTGAACAAGAGTTGTGCCGCTTCAAGGGGGACTACTCGCTCGACGCTAGGAAAAGGGCGGGCTAGAATAGACAGAGAGGAAGATGGAAGAGGAGGTGGCCCCTGTGGGAGGAGGACGAAGGAAAAGAAGCATGAAAGAAAAGAAGGGTATGCAGGGCACGCGATGGTGCTCACGTGTGCCAAGTACGGAACTACTCGAGCATCATCGACTCGAGTACATTAGCCCCCGCAGGTTCATCGGACCTGGCCCGTTCAGGAGAGTACAGAGAGGGGATCGTCTTGTCCTAATCTTTTAACCCTTATCACCTGGCCAATCGATACGCTAACGCGATAAAGGCAACGGATTGGCCGGGTTAATCCTTCGGTTCTCCAACGAACCATCGATGCCAGACATTCTGGCCTCATCCCTCACAAGAACTGGACCATTTTGATATATTATTCAGGACAATGATTATGCATTGCATACAATGAGTGCACACAGTCTTATTACCCAGATAACACCGTACATCCTAAGGACGTCCGTTTCATGTCCAGTTTATATCCGAATGTCCTACGTCCATTTTGGACATCCTTAGGACGTTCATAAGACTTAAATTTTGGATGGTTTCGTTTAGTATTTTTGCCAATGTCATTCCGTACAAGGTAATGGAACCTCATGAATGTACAAAACGTCCGGAACATACGTTCATCGGACGTAGATAGGACGTTTTTGTGCTATTTCGGTATTAGACTTTTTAGCTTGGAAAATATAATAAAGCAAATGTTTCAGTAAAGTTTAACACATTCGCTACCACCATATGGTTTCGAGGACGTTCGTGACAGATCATTCTGTAAGTTTCCATCGGTCTCTTCAGTGGAATATTCTCACTTTCTTGAGTAGATATTGGAAATACATTAAATAAAGATGATGAATGACATAAAATATAGGATAATATTGCAAAACACATTAGGCTTTTGTCAAATGAAATATTCCGAGATTAAAATTGGATCGTTATACATATGTGACATTTAGTAGGAAACGTGATAATGCTATCTATGTTTTATTATTAAGGTAGCAAAGCCTTTTAGGACAAAAATCAAAATTCTACTTAGTTTTAATTTTTGCGTTATTAGTGTCTGTAATTGTAAATTTGTATAAACTTCCACAGTCTAGTTATTACCGTGTTTTCATTAATATTCGAACGTCAACCTGGTTTCTTCATTTTAACGAAACACTGCATAGACAGTGAGTATATGTTGGTGGAGTTACATGATAGGTGAAGGTGGAACAATTTACACGTGAAATTTTGATGAGAAACGTCCCCTTACGACTATTAGCGTCTGTTACTAGTTACAAGTAGTTATCATCTATTCGTCATCGATCCTACAATTCTCCGTCATATCAATTCGATTTTCTTTCAACCCCTCAGTGGCAGCAAGGCCCCTCCCCTCAAACCGTCGAGCGGTTCTTCAGGCGAGAGGAACGAACTCAAAGGCAGCCCTTTTTTTCGTGAAGGGTGCTGTACACACGTGCCGTTGGTAATTGTTGGTCTTATTAACCCTCTCGGGTTTGAGTCACTTTGAAGTGACTAAAGAGTTACACGGTGCAGTAGTTAGTATCAAAAAAGAAATTCGAGTGTCTGGTGATCGAGGAGGAATTGTAATTGGAGGTTGTGTTCCAGACTTCAGTGACTTTCGCACAATTGAATGAAGGATTTCATTCGAGGTTTTTACTTCGAAACTTTGGCCACTCCTTACACTTTTCGGATCAGTACCTACTATTCCTTTTACCTTTGACATGAAGGAATAATATTTCACTGTGTATTCTACACCACCTGTAGATGTGCACTAACTTCAACAAAATTAACCCCTTAATTTCTCACTGGCAACTAGGCACTTTTCCCTTTGATCTGTGTAACAATGGTTGGCAAAAAATTTTCTTTGTATATAAACTGTTCGATCACTATAGTCTTGTAACTAACATACAGGACGATTAAAAAAAAAGTCCTGATAAATATAGGTCGATCAATAAATATTTTCAAAGTTGTAAAAAATTGTTTGCTTCGGTTAAAGCGAGTGACATTGAAGAAAATTGTGAAAATCCTTCAGTAACCAGGAAAAGAAGAAACGATAAGGTAATCCATTGTTTCCAACTTCGAAAATAATAATTCTTCCACCTATGTTTATCAGGACTGTTTTTCATTATTTGATAAGCATTATCTATTCTATAATTTATGTACACATTTTTTTTTTAAATCACCGTGTATACACAGTCACCGATTCATTTGTATTTCACGATCATCGAGAGACAACGTATTCAACGTATGTATAACCGGCAATAAATACGCGCCTGTGAGAATGCTCGTGACACCGGATAGGTTAATATCAGTGTTTATCCCCTACCAAAGGACTACACTTCCGCTTACGGATGCCAGTCGCGTCACATCAAGAAGACATATGGAGGTATGGAGGTGAACTACATACGGTTAAATTGCGGTTCACGTATCAAACGAAGGAAAAGGGAGGGGGAGAGGCGAAGGAAAATATATTTCGTCCGCGTGCACGGTCAACCGCGATATTTGAAAATAGGACTGATAAAGCGTGTGTCTCGCCATATATTCGTTTCCGACTGATACGGTTCCCCTATGTCACCGTACGAACTTCCGTTGCTCGAAATGTCAATTTTACGAATGAAACAATCACTCAAAGAGAAAGGTACATATACTGGAGAAACAAGTACAATTCTTACTTGTCGAATGGCTGTTCTGAATAAATTGATCGACTGTACAGACTACGCCATTAATTCGATTTTACCGGTGCACGTGTGTCTTGTTTCCGGCTTCGATCCCTGGATAAGACGATTTTTCCAAAAGGATAAATCGAATCCCCCCCCTCTACCCCTTCGGTTAAGCGATAGAGAAACTCATTTCTTCCCCTTTCACTTTCCAACGCGCTCCACGACTAATAGATAAGAGAAATCACGCGATTACATTGCTTTTACCTGAACGAAGCCGGTAAAAAGGAAGAAAAACACTTTTATCGACCCAAGTGAAAGACGATCTCGGAAGGCACTGCTGTTCTCTAAGTGATAAATAGACTGCGGATTTTTGTACAAATATCATTCTTCTGTGTCGAAGGTCCTATTAGGTTCCACATGAAAATGAAAACCATACTAGAATTTATTGGACTTTTAACTTTCTTACAATTTCACAAAAAGGTACAGTGTGTTGCAGATACATATTGTTCCTATTAATGTAAATTCATTCATGCTCCGAATAATATTAGTGGGTCTAGTGACTTCAGAATTACATCACAAAAAAAACTATGGGACATATGAACATTGTTTTTAAACAGAATATGATCTAAACAGTCTACAGAGTTGAAATGTGTAATCGAATATTATTTTACACTCTTAAAAGAAACTTCAGGTCACAAAGAGTTAAAACAAGAACAATTGAATGAACATACTCTAAAGGTGAGAGTACACCTAGCTGCCTATCTTAGGGTATCGTGTAAAAGCACTCGTCTCGATCGTAGACTTCCTTTCGCAAGAAGATCCCACCTTCGAAGAGAATTCTTCGAGCAGAATATCAAAGGAAATGAAGTCTCGCCCACCTGCATTCTACGGTCTATTGGAGGATCCTAAAAGGGCAGGATAGATGCGCTTTCTCCTAAACGTCTTCGGTGGACCACCCAGAAAATTGCACGATAATTCCTCCCCCCACTCCAGTCTGTCTGTGATACATCCATTAAATGTCTTCTTCGTCAACATATTAACGGGTGCCTTTTACGCAAGCTCCCCACCATACTGTACCATCGACGAAAGAGCCTGCTGACTTTCACTTCCACGTTACTCCCACGTTGCCATCGCGCTAGATATACTACACACGCTTGGCTCGAGGAAGAGAGCCGCTATATGCAGAAGAGGAACGACATATACTGTGTGTAGGGGAGAGTTGCCTATTTTGGACCATTTTTTTTATTTTTCTCCCTTACGCGCGCATAGAACATCGCAGGATGCAAAGAGAAACGGAAAAAAGACAAGCATTATACGTAGATTGTATGGTGTATTGGTCGTTTTGAAAAAATGTGTGATAAGAATAATATCTTCAAAAACTAAACTAATGACTTCGGTCCGTTCCAGGCAACTGGTTTCGTAATTTGGACCACCGGTTTCCTACATTGGACCGCATCAAAAACCAATAAAATTAAATCTACAATTTTAAAAGAACTGTTCAGGACATTGAAAAAAGTAGAAACAGTAAGAAAAAAAGTACGTTTTCTTAGTCGGTTTCACATTTTCCATATTTTCGTGTTGTCGCCATTTTGAATCTGAATGAAAAGAAAAATTTAACAGAAAAAAACCTTTTCAGTATACTTTGAATTATTCTTGAACTATTTTTATATAGGATATAGATTATACCCTAGTATACACCAGTCAAATTTAGGCAACTCGCGATGGTCCAATATTAGGCAACTTGTAGGTTGCACCAGAGAAAATATATTTTCATTGTTATATTTAAACGAAAATCGGAAAGTATGAATATGAAATTGTAGCTAAGACAGTACACTTTA